AGAGAGAGAGAGAGAGAGAGAGAGAGAGAGAGAGAGAGAGAGAGAGAGCGCTAACTTCAGTGAAATGAACGAGGTACTGTGATTCTGTCTTAACAGTATTATGTGCCTGCTTAGCCACTACTCAGCCTTCCACACCCAACAGCCATATTCACCTTGATGACACTTCTGGGGCTGTCCATGATCTTAGCCATAGTTCAGACATACCACTGCAGTGGCTGGAAGATGCTGTGAGCCTTGCAAAGAAAGCAGATGTTACTAGGTTTTATTCTAAATCCCTCACTGTTACCTCCTGGAGCATGGATGTAATTATGGCTTTGTCTTTAAAAATGCTGTACCCCTTATCTTTGACTTTGACACAAGGACACTTTCTAGAGGTGCAAGCTAACTAACCATGTTCTGTCCATTAATAACTCAAAACTTATAAATGGCTTAATCAGCATGGTCATCACATAGATCATTTTATATTTTATCAGCACATAAGAGACTGAGGCAAGAAGATTTCAAATTTGAGGATAGCCTGGTAGAACACCCCCTCCCCCCACACACACACAGATTTCTAGCACACACCAAAAAAAGTTGGGGGGGGGGGGCTTTGTTCCTCACTCCTGTCAAAAGTTGGCAGTCATGTCCCAAATGATCTTGTTAACATCATTAAGTAGCCTAGATAACATCAGATCAACTAAAATTAAAATCACAGATGACAGTGACAATTTTAGAGTACAGCAAAAGGAAGGAGTTTTACTCTGAATCTCATTTCAGAAGTTGACTTTTCATAGCAATGAGTGATGATATTTCTGATAACAGGTTGGGGCTTATTCTTTGTATATTTAGTGGATAATGAACTGAGGCTTGATTTTGGTGATTCCATTTCTGACCACTTCACTGTCTTAGTTTTTTGAGACAGACCCCAGACTCTTCTCGAACTTCCTACACAGGCAGGAAAAGTAAGACCCCAAATTCATGATCCTTCTTCCTCCACCTCTTAGGTGCTGAGATTACAGGTATACACCACCAACTGGGATTCTCGACTATGATGTCCTGTTTTTATATACATCATCTAGTTGAATACTGTACAATTAACAGTGTTGTTTGTTTATTTAATGCTTCAGTGTCAAGCATTACAGTTGGTGCTGTATGGTAAAAGGCAAACCTTGAATCATTCTTACCTGAAAGCCATTCGTACAGCAAAAGTTGAAACTAGAACAAAACCATTGATAAAGCTGACTTTTACATTCCTGGTGGACTTGGTCTAAATAAAGTCCAATCTTATATCAAGGCCAAAAGGATTTAAAACCAATAGTGCTCCCTTCTAAGATAACGAAAAGATAATAATAAACTGATAATAATTAACATAAAGATAATATGTTAATATGTACATGTTTTTGTTGGCAAAGCAATGATTAAAACTATCCTTTTTATTCCCCCTTCTTTGGGGGTTAGGGTGGGTTGGAGACAGGGTCTCACTATGTAGCTGTGGCTGTTCTGAAACTCAGTATGTAGGCCAGCCAGCTTGGCCTCAAACTCACAGAGATCTACCTGTCTCTGCCTCCGCCTCCCCAGTGCTGGGAGACCTTTTTGAAAACAGGTCTCAATTTTTTAAAGGTATGAGCCACCACACCCAGCCCTTGTCTTGTATAAAAAGAAAAATGAGGGAGCCATCAAAATGGCTCAGTGGGTAAAAGTGCTTGCTGCCAAACCTGATAATCTGACCTCAGCACCCACAGGCTGAAGGGTGAGAGCTGAGTTTTCAATAACACACACACATACATACACACACACACACACACACACACACACACACACACACAATTTAATTTTTTAAAAAGAAAACTTGAAGTCCAGAGTTATTAGCACAGTAACAGTATGTGCTTAGCATCTGTGAAGGCCTATAAGGAGTCAAGTAAGTTTGCTTCCCTTTAGTCCTTGTTCAGTGTTTGAGTGTATAGTAATCATGTCTGAGGTGACATCTCTTCATTGTGAGGAGAGTGGGACTGCCTATAAATTAAGATACGGAGCGGTGGCGCACGCCTTTAATCCCAGCACTCAGGATGCAGAGGCAGGTGGACCAGGTTGATCTACAGAGTGAGTTCCAGGACAACTAGGTATCCACAGAGTAGAAACCCTGACTCGTTTAAAAAACAAAACAAAACAAAACTTAGGGAGAAAAGATTTTGAATTCAGAATTTGTACCCTCACAACATTTTATCTTTAAGCTTAATTTAGTTCTAATTTTAGTATATAACAAAGCTGTTGGTAATTACTTTAGTCATCCTGTTGGGTTTCAGAGTTAAATGTTCATATAAATATGAAAAACAATAACTGGATTACATTTATAAACAAGTAGAGACATGATTGGTTTTGTTTGTTTGTTTGTTTTTTGGTTTTTAGAGACAGGGTTTCTCTGTATAGCTCTGGCTGTCCTGGAAGTCACTCTGTAGGCCAGGCTGGCCTTGAACTCAGAAATCCACCTGCCTCTGCCTCCCAAGTACTGGGATTAAAGGCGTGTACCACCACTGTCCAGCGAGACATGATTGTAATAGACATCTGTGGTGCTTAAACTTAAGTTTTCTGTTTAGGAATGTGGTTTATTTTTATTTATATATCAGAGTGCCTGTGGAGGTCAGAAGGTCTTGGATCACTTGAAACCAGAGAGTTACAAGCATCTGATGGTCACCTGATAGGGTGCTGGCATCTAAATAAACCCTAGTCCTCAGGATAGAACAACAAACCATCTTAACCACTGCGCCAACCATCCCTCCAGACCTGTTGCTTTTGGCTTTTTGAGATAGAATCCCATTGTACATTTTAGGCTAGCTCAGACTCAGCTTACCAGGTATTAGAGAATTATTGGCTTGTGCTACCATGCCAGCTAAAGCAGCTTTAACTAAAGACAAAATTACTTAATTGCTTAAGTTAAATTATTTAAGTGAAAGACAAAATTACTGCAGGGTGGTGGTGACAACATCCATTTAATCTAGGCAGTTGGGAGGCAAAGGCAGGAAGATCTCCGAGTTCCAGGACAACCTTGTCTACAGAGTGAGTTCCAAGGTGGCTACACAGAAAAAACCCTGTCTCAGAAAAACAAACAAAAGAATTATCAGTGTTGTATGTTTGAGTAAATTTAGGAGCTTGAGATTTGAGTATTCTTTTATTTGTTACTAAATTTTACAAGCTTGTGTGAGTGTTTGTGTGTGAATGTAGTGTAGTGGTGTCATCGTGTGGGTGTGTTTGATTTGTCTTGTCTTTGTATTTGCTTTTTTGGACACAGGATCTAATGGTTCCCAGGCTGGTCTGAAACTTGCTGTGTAGCTAAGGATGACCCTGAAGTCACGAACCTCCTAAGTACTGGACTGGGTCACAGGTGTATGTTACTGTGCCTGGTTTTACGCAGTGGGATGCTAGACAAGCGTGCTCCCAACTGAACAACATCCACAGCCCTCTCATCAAATATAGTTTAATTGAATACCACTTAAACAAGGTTTAGATGATTGGTTGCTTTTGCTGGGTTACAAACCACTTTATTAACCCTGGCCTGCTGTGGTCCCTTGCATTTATTTGATTAGCACAGAGGCTTGATACCTGAAGACAAAATTGCCTTTGTCATCAAGGCTGACACAGTTTATTCTCCATGTAGTATAGCTAACTTAGTAGACTAAAGTTTCATTCTTAGTAATTTTTAGTGTTTATTGCTTTATTTTATTGCCTTATTCTGTTGAAATCTTGATGTACTGTTTCATAATACAGGATTTATAGCTATATGCATACTGTTTTATAAAGTTAGTCTTTTCTAAAATGTTACTGTCTGAAAGTTGGTGTATATACATATAAAAACTGTATTCATATTACTCAATGCTAATACAAGAAAAAAGTTGACAAAAAAGAAAAAAGTCATATAGTTCTTTTAGCTGAAAACAGCATTCATATTTTCTGATGGATTTTTTTAGTATCCTTCAGCAAAAAGGAATGTCTCAGTAATTATTATAAGAGTAATGTGAATCATCAGTATTTTTCATACAATGTATCACCTGTCTGCTCCATTTTCAAAGTCACTCTGAAAAGTGGGGACTGTTGGCTGATCGGCTTCACCTCATCCAATGTTGGTATGAATGGCTTCACCCTGATCTAGAGTCTTCCATAATGGAGCCCTTATTTAATTCAGTTTTGAGAATAAATTTTGACAGGTTGTTGCTTCTGGGTATTTACTGCATCAGAAGTGAGAGTTTAGATTTTACAGGTCTTAAACTTCTACCATTCCAGGGATTCTGAGTTGACTAGAAAGCACTAGGCCAAGAGTCAGGCCTGATCTCTTACCCTGGCCTGGCCTGGTAGCTCTGTCAGCCTAAGTTCAGTGAGTTCTTACCTGGGTTTCATTACCTCTAAAATTAGGAAGTTGAATTAGATGACTTCTCATGTTTCTTCTACTCCTAAATTCTATGATTTTTAGGGAGAAAATTCCCTCAACATTCCTGGGATATATATCTAATAGCCCCATATATTGTGAAACCTCCCTATTGACGATAAAGAGGGATGGGGAAGGCTACAAGTAAGTATATCCTCCTGTTTTCTCTGATCTTTGCAAAGCTTTACCCAGCAGTGAAACTGCAGTATTCAGTGATAGTGTTTATGAAAATTTAATACAGTTTTCAAGCCAAAGCAACAGCAGTTTCAAATGTTCTACATCTCTGAACACTTGAAAATCTCAATTGTCATTTACTTTGATATTTTCTCCTATATTTCCTTTCATTCATCACAGAAATAAAATTTTCCTTCCCTTTCTGTTGGTATAATTAAGCAAATATAATACACACATATAAAAGAATGAGAGTTCACAGTGGATCCTGAAAATGAAATTTTAAAACTAGTAATCCAAGTTAACCAAAATGGGTAGAATTTTTTGTTGTTTTGAATGGATTTTCACTGTGGCATCCCCACTTAACCTACTGAAAAACAATAGTAGTAATAAAACTGAATCAGTATTACACATACACATGATTCACTTATTTCATTTTTGAAACAAAAAGATTCTCCAGAGAATTAAATATTGCCATCTCATATGTTGAAATATATGTTTGAGAAAAATTCTAGGGCCTGAACCTGGTAAGAGGACATAGTGCTTTGCAGAGAACTGCTCGCATGAGGCAGCTCATACCTGCCTGTTAGCTCCAGCCCCAAGGGGAGCTAATGATTTAATGCCCTTCTCTAGTCTATAAGAGCACCTGTACACACACAAATTAAGATCAATTTCCAAATTACAGATTTGGGTGACAGTTTCTCATTGTTAAATTTTTATTTATAAATCTGGGCCTAAAGAATACAGCTAGTCTTTCTCTCAGCGTCAACCTTTCCGTAGAAGTAATTTCTCAATTGAATTGCCCAGTGTTTCGGTGACATCAGTGGCTTGCCATGAGTCAAATTTTGATTATGGGAGAGCTAGCTAGTTGTCCTAGATTTGTACAGATGTCTATTCTACTGGTTAGATGAACTTTCACATGAATATTAGCTTTGAAGGATTTGTCTTGAGTTTTTTTTCCCTAACTACTGTCTGTTTTTCAGGTTCTCTTTGTAAAGAATCATTCTCTGGTCAAGTTTCATCATCACTCATGCCACTTACTCCATTCTGGACCCTCCTCCAGTCAAATGTACCTGTGCTTCAGCCTCCGTTACCTCTGGAAATGCCTCCTCCTCCACCTCCACCCCCGGAATCTCCTCCTCCTCCACCTCCACCCCCTCCTCCACCTCCTCCGTTAGAAGATGGTGAGATTCAGGAGGTAGAAATGGAGGATGAGGGAAGTGAGGAGCCTCCTGCTCCTGGAACAGAGGAGGATACTCCTTTGAAACCTTCAACACAGACCACAGTTGTAACCAGCCAGGTAGTTATGCCCTTGGCATTCTGGGTGGTCATGGGGACTGGACAGTGATTGACATGCTTTACTTCAGAAGAATATATTTTGTAGCACTAACTAGAATGTTGTTTCAGAGTTCAGTTGATTCCACTGCCTCTAGTCCTCCATCCACTAAAGCAGTAAAGAGAAAAGCTCCAGAGATGAGTACTGCAGTAGTGCAGAGATCAGCTACTATTGGTAGTTCTCCAGTTCTCTACAGCCAGTCAGCTATAGCTGCAGGTAAGCGCCATGATTAAAGTGGCTTTTTCTTAACATGACATTTGTTTCCAACATTAGATGCTCTACGTTGAAAAGTTAGAAGGCTTTTGATTGAAAATACTACTAATATTTATATCTCCTGATTACTAAAAACTACTCTTAAATATTTGGCATGTATCCTTATTTTTGCAAGATTTTTTTTTTCTGTTTTGGGTTTTGTTATCATTTTTTGTTTGTTTTGTTTCAGTTTTCTGATACAGGGTTTCTCTGTGTAACAGAGCCCTGGCTGTCCTGGACTGGCTCTGTAGAACAGGTTGGCTTCAAACTCACAGAGATCCACCTGCCTCTGCATTTCTTTATTTTTTGTTTGTTTGTTTGTTTGTTTGTTTTGTTTTGTTGAGACAAGGTTTCTCTGTGTAGCCCGGGCTGTCCTGGAACTCACTCTGTAGACCAGGCTGGCCTCGAACTCTCGAACTCAGAGATCCACCTGCCTCTGCCTCCCAAGTGCTGGGATTAAAGGCGTGCGCCACTACTGCCCAGCGCCTCTGCATTTCAAATACTGGAATAAAAGAGAGGGATGCTCACCATGCCCAGCTACAAAATTTAATATTGTGTCATATTTTTAAGGGAAAAAAATATACTGAAATTATTTTGTGATTTAACTCCTAGTTTCTTTTTCCTTCTGTCTTGTTACAGTGTATCCTTTTTATAGTTTCATTTTATGTTTCCTGTGTTAGGTCACCAAGCAGTGGGGATGACCCATCAAGCTGTTGGGATGGCACACCAAGCAGTATCCGTTAGCCATGCAGCAGCAGGAATGGGTCATCAGGCCAGAGGGATGAGCCTGCAGTCAAATTACCTGGGACTAGCGGCAGCTCCTGCGATGATGGGTTATGCAGAATGTTCTGTCCCAATTGGAGTGACCACTCCATCACTGCAGCCAGCTCAGGCTCGAGGAACTATGGCAGCGCCTGCTGTTGTAGAACCGCCTCCGCCTCCACCTCCTCCACCTACACCTACACCACCACCGCCACCACCAGCTCCCAAAGTGCCACCACCAGAGAAGATGAGAAAAGGGAAGAGAGATAAGGTGAGTCTTCTTCAGTTAAAAAAAAATATTTAAGATGATGACATAACAAAATTGTTTTTTTAAGAAATAAACTAATTCCCAGGCAGTAGAGGCATACTACTAATTAATTCCAGTACTTTGAAGGCAGAAACAGGTGGATTTTTGTGAGTTTGAGGCCAGCCTGGTCTACATAGTGAGTTCCAGGACATCATCCAGAGCTACATAGTGAGACCCTGTCTTTTAAAAAGAAAAAAAGACTTTTATATTTGTGTTTTGCATACATGTATATCTGTGTACCACCTGTATGTCTTGTATGCCTGGAGCTCAGAGAAAGAGTAGCAGATCCCAGAACCACGGTCATTTGTGGATTACAATCCAAGTCCTCCAGAAGAGCAACCCATGTTAATTGCTGAGTTGTGCCTCCTTCACAATTAGTCACTTTTAAGCACTTCTTTAAAAATAATTTGTCGCCGGGCAGTGGTGGTACATGCCTTTAATCCCAGCACTTGGGAGGCAGAGAGGCAGGTGGATTTCTGAGTTTGAGGCCAGCCTGGTCTACAGGGTGAATTCCAGAACAGCCAGGGCTATACAGAGAAACCCTGTCTCGAAGAAAAAAATAATAATTTGTCAAGTAAATAAACTAATGGATAAAAGAATAAATAATTCATCTATTTCCATATATATATATATATGCATGCCTGTATACACACAGGTACTTGCAGAGGCCAGAGAGAACATAGGAGTCTCTAGGACTTGAGTCATATACCTCTGATATGATTGCTTGACACCAAACTTAGTTCCTTTTGCAAAAAACAGCAAGTGCTCTTAACTGATAAGTCATCTCCTCAGTCCCATTATGAACTTTATACATGCATTGATACATAATGTGTTTTGAGCATGTTCACGTGTAGCCACTACTTTTTTTTCTCTCACAAACCCCCATTTTTCTCCAACTTGTCTACATCCCCCATAAACACACGGCATTCTACTTTTTTGTTTTGTTTTGTTTTGTTTTGTTTTGTTTTTCGAGACAGGGTTTCTCTGTGTAGCCCTGGCTGTCCTGGAGCTCACTCTGTAGACTAGACTGGCCTCAAACTCAGAAATCTGCCTGTCTCTGCCTTTCAGGTGCTGGGATTAAAGGCGCGTGCCACCACTGCCCGCCGGCATTCTACTTTTATGTCTTTTGTTTTCAAGATAGAGTTTCTTTGAGTAGTCTAGGCTGTCCTGGATCTCACTGTGTAAACTGGGTTAGCCTCACACTCAGAGATCATCTCTTTCTGCTTCTTGAGTACTAGGATTAAAGGCATGTACTACCATGCCCAACTTCTATATTATGACAGTGAGTTTTATAGTTAATAGGGGCGTGAGCACTATACCACAAAAAATAACGTCTCTCCTTCCACCATCAACTGTTAACTATATAAGTCCTCAAGAAAGAATGGGGCCCCATGAACTCCTGCCCCCTTCATGACATGCCCAGTCTTGTGTAGGCAGTACAACTATTGTGAGTTTAAGAGAGCACCAGCCATGTACTATCAGAAATCAGCATTTTACACCACTTGCGCACAAACCACTTAACATTCTTTCTGCCACTTCCATGATACTTCTGAGTCTTGGCATTTCAAGATGCATCCAGTATTATCTTTATTCCTTGGATTCAGGGGAAGATCTTAATCTCCAGTGTAAAAGATCTATTTCCTTGTTCATGTATTGCATTTCGCTAATCTACCACTTTGTTTTAGGCAAAGAAAAGTAAAACAAAAATGCCATCTTTGGTAAAGAAATGGCAGAGTATCCAGCGGGAGTTAGATGAAGAAGATAATTCAAGTTCCAGTGAAGAGGACCGGGAATCGACTGCTCAGAAGCGAATTGAGGAATGGAAACAGCAACAGCTGGTGAGGTAAGGGAGTGCTGTCACAGATGTGGGCAGAGCTCTGCTTGTGGTGTTATCGTCCTTCATGAAGAATACACATGCTACTTGGCTGGGAAGCTTGAAACGTTTTCCTGAATGGACATGAGATCCAATTTTCAGTTTCAATTAGAGTTTTTATTTCTAAAAAAAAAAATTAGGTTCTCTTTATTTCCAATGAAATAATAACATGCAAATTGTTTTCACAGTGGCCTGGCAGAAAGAAATGCTAATTTTGAAGCCCTTCCTGAGGATTGGCGAGCAAGACTGAAGAGAAGGAAAATGACTCCCAACACATAGTCTTTTGTTGTGTTTTATATTCAGTCTTACCCAGATTTAAACTCTTGTCAAATGAACTGTAATGTTATGAGGAAGAACATATACACTTCCTGGGCAAGGACACGTGCATACAAAGCTGTCCGTTTATGAAATGTAGTTTTCTGTCTGCTGAAATGAGGTGATTGGAATGGCTTTGACCTGGCTGTTGTTATTCTCACACTGGCAAACTTAGCATGTTAGAGATGAATCGGACATGCGAGTCACGGGCATGAAACCTCAGTGTAGGATTCTCACACTGGCAAACTTAGCATGTTAGAGTCGGACATGGGAGTCACGGGCATGAAACCTCTGTGTCGGACTTGCTGGCAGAAGTGAAGGGCTTTCCTGCCCAGTAGAGGTTTATTTAGTTCCTAGTGTGACACTCTCCCTCCTTTGTACTCCAGAACAAGTGCAATTAAGGCAGCTCTGTAATCCTACCTTGCTTGACCAGCAGGATCTCTTTCTGACCTCCTCCTCACGTCTGCTGCCCCTGAAGTGTTGAGATCTGTGCTGATGGCTGGCCACACTTGAGAGTAATTCTTTCTCAGCAATCCTAGAACAGTTGCTTTGCAGCAGGTGGCATTTTTACACACAGGCAGGAGCAGCAGCATCAGGTGTTTAGATCCTTGGTTTTGAGAAATCCCCCCGTAAGTATGTGGCAATAAGTATAATAAGCCACTTTGTGTATTGTCTTCATCGTCTTAACCCACTTCAAAAATACACCTTCCTTCTATGTGTGGATATGTTCTCCATAAGATTCCAGTATTTAAGAAGCTGTTCACTGTTGTGTACTTTCTGTTGTATCACAATCAGGAAAGGTCACTTTAAACTGAAGAAAAAAGCAAATTGTGTCTTAAAGATGTTTGTATTTCTCCAGTTTCTGACATTGTAAATTTGTATATATGCACCAATAAAGCTCTTTTTATACTTCTGATTGGTTATCCTTTTGCTCTTCTAAGCATGTTACCCCACAGTTATATAACTAGGACTTAGTGTATGTCCATTTTTAGTTGTTCTAATCAGACGTAGTACAGAGCATACACTGACATTGTAGTGTCTTGGGGATATAGGAAGACAGGGTTTTAAGAAACATAACACACACACACAGGTGTTTCCAGGTAAGATGGTGCCATTTTCTGGAGCTTGTATCCTGTTAATAATAATAGCTGATATTTGGCCTACTTAAGTCCTAGAAACAATATAATATGGGGGGGTGCTTTATAGCTTTTTATTAAGTAATACAAAGCTGATTATGGAAAGTAATAGATATTTAAGATTATAATCACAATAGTTAACCAAAGATAATAGTTTGGATTTTATTCTAGTATATTCCTATACAGTTCAATTTTTTTTTTACTTGTATTACAGTGTATTAGATTTTATTTATCATGCGCTAATGTTGGGATGCCCCATTTTGTACATAAAATTGTTTTGTAATTTGCATAGAGTAAATTTCTACAAATAAAGGTTATCAACTAGCTATTAAAGCTTTTGTCTTAACTAATTAGCAGTTTTCCAGGCTGGTAGGAGTTGCTGGAGAGAATCAGCCTCCTTAGTATCCTATGCAGCTGAGCACATAAGCAGTCGGATGGACCAGCTTTTGGGTGGTTTAACTGATTTGCCACCTTTGCTTATAACTGGTTTTGCTAACTAGTTTTTTTGTTTGTTTTTTTGTTTTTGTTTTTTTTGTTTGTTTGGTGTAGAAGGTAGAGAATAAAGAGTATCTGATAACTGTGTAGTTGGGAGGACATTCTAGTGATTGTCTGGATTCTGCGAATCTGGCCTGTCTCAGCAGCTTAGCTGAGAGATTGTGGCCCCAGGCTTTTTGAGTCAATTCATTCTTTAATTTTTTGTTAAGATTTTATGTATATGGATGTTTGGTCTGCATGTACATCTGCATACCAGAGAGGGATCCCATAGCACTGTAGTTGTGAGCCACCATGTGGATGCTGGGATTTGAATTCAGAAAGTGCAGCCAGTGCTCTTTGCCTCTGAGCCATCTCATCTTTTCAGCCCTGAGATTTGCCCTTAAAAGAGTACATCTTTATTTTTAGACAATAGGGTCCTTTGGTCGATGGAGGCTTTAACACAAGCCCTTGAGCAAGTCTCAAAAAGTAATAATGGGGCTTGGCTCTTAAAAGCTCTTTCAGATGATCCAAGTTTGGTTTCCAGCACCCACATTGGGTCCCTTGTAATTCCACTCTAGGGAGACCTGACCTCACCTGCACTCACAAGTACACATTAAAACAATTTTTAAAAATAAAGTCCAGACTAGATAGCCTACCAGGTTTGTGTTTGCCTGATGCTTGAGTTAGTTCCTGAAACTCATGCAAACAAAGGTGGAAGGAAAGAACTGACTTCACAAAAGTGTTTAATTTACACGTTTGCACGCTAGTCCTGCATGTGCAAACAGTGTAAAGAGTAAAGGGGAGGCGGCTCAGGAGCTAAAAGCATTTGCTGGTCTTTGAGAGGCTTGGCAGATCCTGCACCCCATTTGCCAACTCAAACAGCTCACAACTGCCGGTAAATAGCTCCCTGGGCATCTAAAGCCTGGTTTGTTCGCGCGCGCGCCCGCACACACACACACACAAATTTTTTTAAAGGAGTAACTTCTATTTTAGACCAAATCAAGTAAAAAGTGGGGGGGGGGGGAACGGATATTATAAGTTTGTCAAAGGGAGAAGAAATGAGGTAAACTAGAATGAGCCTGATTCCTTCTCTCTAGGACTGTCGCTCTTTTTTAATAACGCTTGCGTTTGTTTGGTTGCTTGCTATAGCTTTAGCCCTCCCCAGCCCTCAAAGGAATGGAAGCTTCAGCCCCTTGAACAAAGTAAATCACCTACAACTACAGAAACTAGAAAAATGAAGGCTCCCGGGACTGTACTCGTTAGTTCCCAGACTGAGTCTGTAAAGTTTGAGATGAAGTTTGAGTGAATAAACCGTTGGGGTGTGAAACACAAGTTGCCTGACATCCCAGCATACGGATGAGGGCGGGGTCCTGCCCTCCTTCCGCTTCTGGCTCCTGGTTGCTAGGCTCCCAGGGTCCGCGCAGAAAGCTCCAGCAGGTGAGCTGAGGACTGACTAGGCCCTAGCTCGCAGGGGCAAGCAGGGGATCCCAGGCGGGAAGGGAGTGAGGAGGGCAGGGGGACGAGGATTTTTAGGCGGACAGGACCCTGGACTGGCCTCTGCAGAAAGAGTGATTGGAGGGGTAGTGGGAGAGCTGGGGCTCTCCAGCCTGGGGACCAGCTTGGGGGGAAGGGGGTGCTAGGGAGCACGGTGTCACCCTGCGGGGGCTCCCGTGAAAACTTCGGCTCCGCCCTTCCTTGGGCTCTCCTCTAAGCAGTCCACACTCCGAGGCAGGGAGCTCAGAACTGAACGTTTCCAGGGTTCTCACTTCCGACCCTTGACCTTTCCTTTTCAACTGCTCTGAGGCGACTCTGCGCGTGCCCCCAACCCGGTTCCTTTCTCTTTTCTGTGGCGTCCTGGTGTTGGGCATCTATTCTCAGAGTAAGCTAAGCATGGGGTCAGCGAGGCTCTTGGTGAGTCTAGTGGACCAGGCATGGGGACACGCAGAGCACCCCAGCTCCTCAGGTGCGTGATGGGAACCACCGTCCTCTCCTTTGGCTTGGCAAGAGCTTACCCCCAGTGGTTGTGGATGTGAAAGGGCAGGACCTGCAGATTTGGTGTTCTTTGTTGGCGGTAGTGGTTGGTTAAGTTTCTTTTCACTTACAGACGGTGATTTGTAGCTTCTGTGTAATCAGCTACCTGTTTGGAAATTAGGCAGGTATTGCAGCTGGGTGCGGTGCTACTGACGGGCCTACATCATACTATGCGGCAGTAACATGTTCCCAGCGTTGGAAACAGAGCTAAAGCAGGAGGTTGGTACACTCCCTTTCCAGTAACTTCACAGAAACCCAATCCAAGGTCAAAAGGTTCACTGTGGTGGCATGCTGGCCCGGCTGGAGGGGGGTTCAGTTTGTAGTTGGCTTTTTGGGAGGAAGACTGGGCTCTGTGGCCCAGGTTGGCCTGGAACTCATTGTTGCCCAGACTATCCTGGAGCTTGCTATTCTCCTACCTCTGGTTCTCTGGTGCTGGGATTACTAGTGTTTGCCATCAGACCTGTTGGAGATAATGATTCCCTAAATAGAATAATTCAATATTTACATGGATTTTGCTTGTTTTGTTGCCGTATCCTATGCAGCATGTTTGGCATTTTTTGTTAAGAAGTCGGTGTCACCTGAATGAAATTTCTGTTTGAGAATGGATTTTCTTTCACAGATGCTTCCTGATCCCTATGAGGATTTTATGCACCATCACCTCCAGTATTATGGATATTTCAAAGGTAACTCTTGGTTCTCTCCCAGCATCACCGGGTTGAACTGTTGTATTTATTGAAAGAACTGTTTGGATACGACTCGAATATGTTTCTAGGTGATTGGTTAAAAAGTACTCCCTACCCCCCTTGACCGGCATCACCTCTGTCAAGGGACAGACTTACTATTTGCAAAAGTACAAATGTCTCTTCTAGGCTCTTTAGTTTATTGGCCTGTTTGTCTACTGATGCACTAATAAATTACCAGCTCTGAATTGTTCTATGACATTAAAGTAGATTCCTTTTCACACGGGCCTCACTATGTAGCCCAGGCTGGTAAGGAACCCACTCTCCTGTCTTAGCTTCTTGCATCATTATGCATGGCTGTCACAGTCTCCATCTCTTGACAGTCATTTCCTATCACCTTGTTCTTCAAAAGTGTCTCACCTTTTCTTTAGTCTTTGCTTCTCTCTCTGCTTTTTTTTTCTTTTCTTTTCTTCTTATGGCTCTGGACAATACAGTACGCTATGCAAGTACTCTGCTAAACTGTATTCAGGTCCCCTTTATGTAAATTTTAAAATTAGTTTGTGACATTAAAAAGTTTTAGGCAGTGAGGTTGTAGCTCAGTGGTAGAACAGTCATCTCACGTTACCCAGGAGCCACATTCAATCCCCAGAACCTTGACATCCTTGTCTTTATTTATACATTTATTTACTTATTTACATTTATTAACTTATTTGTTGATTTGGGGCGGGGGACAAATCACTCTTGAATCTTGACTGGACTATGTACCACATGCTACCTTTCTGTTTAAAGTGGAGTTGTAGTTTATTCGGAGTCTCCGCGTCAACCTCATGCTTCCACTTGCGTGTGCCCACATGTGCGTGCGCAGCTGGACACTTGCAGAACACGTGCAAGCCAAGGCCACTCCAGCTAGCTAGACTTCTGCAGTGCTCTAAAACCACACCTCAGCAAACAAAACAACAGAACTTACTGGACTTGGATTAAATCTATAGATTCAATCAAATTTATAAAAGATGGTAAATTTTTTGCCAGGCATGGTGGTACATGCCTTTAATCCTAGCGTGGTCTCCATAGCGAGTTTTGAGACAACCAGAGCTGTCCTGAATTCACAGAGACCTGTCCGCCTGTCCTGAGATAAATTCTCTGTAGCAGGTGTTCTGGGATCTGGATATGTTTCTCCGTTTACTTAAATATTTAATGTCTTTTAATAAAAATTTTTGCTTTTTTAATTTTTAAGATTTATTATTTTATGTATATGAATGAGTGTGTGGTTTTTGTCATTTTTGTTTTGTCTTGTTTGTTTTTTGAGACAGGGTTTCTCTGGGTAACTGGAACTCACTTGGTAGATAAGATTGACCTAGAACTCATAGAAACCCATCTGCCTTTGCCTCCCAAGTGCTGGGAGTAAAGGCTTGGCTATCGCACTGCCTGGTGATATATGTCTTTCATAACCTCAAGCTCATCCACATCGATACACCTCTTCCAACAAGATCACACCTCCTGGCCCTTCCCAAGCACCATCATAACATATTCTAACACACAAGCCTATGGCAGCCATTCTCATTCAAACCACCATACAAGTTAACATGCCTTTAAAA